TGCACTCGCCAGACAGACAGAGAGAGACATAGAGACAGAAAGCGAGAAATCACCCCCCAGGGGGGCTGGTCTCACGCCGCAATCCCTTCTCCTCCATTCTCCTCTCAGGATCTTGGGCACGCACGCACACGCACCCAGCATGAGTTTTAAGCCACCGGGTCCGGGACACAAACCGCGGTCGACTACGTGGGAGTCCAGCGACATAGCCATTACGCTAACTGCTGGTTCCCCTTTTATTTCCTTTTTTGAGTTTGTTCCTTGTCACTATACAGAAATGCAACTGATTTTTGTATGTTGATTTTTTTAATCCGGATATGCTGCCGAATTCATTTATTAGTTCTAACCAGTTTTTTGTTTGTTTAGTTTGCTCGAGGGTATATGACCACACGCATGAGTGTGTGTTAGTGTGAAACAGGGATAATGGCCACTCTAAAATCCTTTCTCTTCCATTTGGTCTTGAGATCTTGGGCATGCATGTACATGTGCTTAGTGTTTTTTTTTTTTTTTTGAGAGATTTTCACTGTAGGGCGCGTGCACTCGCCAGACAGACAGAGAGAGACATAGAGACAGAAAGCGAGAAATCACCCCCCAGGGGGGATGGTCACGCCGCAATCCCTTCTCCTCCATTCTCCTCTTGGGATCTTGGGCACGCACGCACACGCGCCCAGCGTGAGTTTTAAGCCACCGGGTCCGGGACGTGAACCGCGGTCGACTACTTGGGAGTCCAGCGACATAGCCATTACGCTAACTGCTGGTTCCCCTTAGTGTGTTTTTTAAGCTGCCAGGTCTAGGATTCAAACCACACATTTGACCATGTGGGATCCAGGAGTTGGCCATATGGGATCTGGCCACCTTCACCACCACACTACTGACTGGCACTTTTAGCCATTTCTGATGTCAGGATAGATGACATTGGTGTTGAACCAGCTGTACAACCTTAGAGTGAATTCCACTTAGTCATAGTGGGTAATCCTTTATATTTATTGTTTAATCCTGTTTGGTAATATTAGTTAAAAATTTTTATGTGTGTTCATGAGGGATTTTTTTTTTTTTTTTTTTTTTTTTTTTGTTCTTTCGTTGTGTAGTTTTAGTGTCGGGTAAATTGGACTAGGAAGTATTCCTTCCCCTCCTATTTCCTGGGAGAAATTGTTTAAAGTTGTTGTTAGTTCTTCAAATGTTTGAAGAAATTCTCCATTGAAACTGGAGGATTAAAAAATTCCAGATTTGGAATTTTTGTTTTAATTTAAAAGTCACAAATTCAGTTTTTCTTTTCTTTCTTTCTTTTTTTTTTTTTTTTTTTTTTTGGAGTTTTTTTTTTTCTGCTGTTTTGAGAGGTTTTTGCTACAGCGCACATGCACTTGTCAGAAAAACAGAGAGAGACAGAGAGACAGAAAGTGAGAAATCACCCCCCAGGGGGGATGGCCACGCCACAATCCCTTCTCCTCCATTCTCCTCTCGGGATCTTGGGCACGCATGCCACATGCGCCTGGCGTTAGTTTAAGCCACCAGGTCCGGGACTCGAACTGCAGTCAACTACATGGGAGTCCAGCAACATAGCCATTACATCAACTGCTGGTCCCACAAATTTAGTTTTCTTAAGAGCTATTTAAATTATTTAATGTGAGTCGTAGTTTGTACTTTGTGTTTTTTGATGGATCGGTCAATTTTATATAAAATACCAAATTTATGGGTGTAGAATTATTTGCACTGTTTTCTTATCTTTGTGTCTGGAGGTTCTGTAGTGATATCCTCTATCATTTCTGACCTTGGTAATTTGTATATTCTCTTTATAAATCTTGCTAGAGGTTTATTAGTTTACTAATTTTTTTAATAAAGAATCACTTTGTTTCTTTTATTTTTACTATTGCTTTTGTTTTCAGTTTGATTTATGCTCTCTTTCCTTTTGTTTGGTTAAGATTTATTTTGTTATTTTTCTAGGTTCTTGAGGTGATTTGGGGTCTTTTTTTTTCCTTTTTTTTGAGGGGGCTATAGGGTGTGTGTGCTCACTGAAGAGAGATGGGGGAGGGGAGAGAAAGTGAGAAATCACCCCGTAGGGGAATAACCATGCTACATTCCCTTCTCTACTCTTCTCTGGGGTTTTTGAGCATGCATTCACATGCACCAGATATATTTTTCAAGCCTCCAGGTCCAAGACTCAAACTATGCGGTTGGTCATGTGAGATCCAGCCATCTTAACTACCATGCCACTTGAGTGGCTTGGGGCTATTTTTCTTTTTATTCATTTTTATTTTTTATTCTTTTTTTTTTTTTTTTTTTTTTGAGAGAGAGAGAGAGAGTGAGTGTATTGCTATAGGCCGCATGCCCTTGCCGGAGAGACAGAAAGACAGAAAGCAAGAAATTAACCCCTGGGGGGATGGCCACACCACAATCCCTCCGCCTCCATTCTCCTCTTGGGATCTTGGGCATGCATGCACATACAACCAGCATGAGTTTTAAGCCACCGGGTCCAGGACTTGAACTGCGATCGACTATGTGGGAGTCTAGCAATGTATCCATTACAATATATCTTGGTCCCATTTTTCTTTTAAAGAATTACTTATTTAATTTTATCTGTTACTATTATTATTATTATTTTAAAATTTGACATAGAGCATGTGTGCTCACCAGAGAGAGACAGAGAAAGAAAAATAAAATGAAAAAGCAGGCTGCCAGGCAGGTCTGAGACTCGAACCATGGTCGGCCATGTGGGAGTCCAGCATCTTTACCACCATGCCACCTGCTGGCCCCAGGACTTTTTTTTATTGATGTGAGCATTTAATACCATAAAATTTTTGATTAGCACTTCTTTAGCTATTTTCTACAACTTAATGGGTATATATTCTCATTTTCATTCAGGTGTTTTTTTTGTTTTTGTTTTTGTTTTTTTAATTTCCCTTGAGACTTCCTTTTTTACCCATGAATTATCTGGCAGTGTGTTTTTTAAATTTCTAAGTATTTGGAAATTTTCCTATGATCTCTCTTTTATTGATTTCTACTTTGATTCTGTTATCAAAGAACATACCAAAATCGAGGTGTGTTTTATGGCATAGTATATGTTCCATTATTGCTGTATGTTTTGTGTGTTTTGGTAAAGAGTCTAGATTGCTGTCTTCATGGTGTTCTGTAAGTAAACACTTCAAAGTGTTAATGGTGTTGTCAACTTCTTCTATAATCTTGTTGATTTTATGTCTAGTTCTATTAGTTATTGAGGAGTGTTAAAGTCTTTAATTTGTGGATTTATTTATTTCTTGTTTTAGTTCTATTAGATCCTGTTTCATATATTTTGCAACTTTGTGGTGTAGTTCATATCCACTTTTTAAATTCAGAGTTTACTTATCTATTTTTTTTTGGAGAGAGAAAGAGAAAAACTGGCAGTCCCAGCTGGGTTACTGTGCTGTGATCCACCCCTGGTCTCAGTCAGCTTGGATCATGGTTTTGTGTACATGCTCCCAGCATGTTTAGGGACATCATGGAATATGAACCCAGGGTCTCTCTCGTATGGGCCCAGCTATGTTACCACTGTGCCTTTACCTGGTCCCTGTTATGTGCATATTTGCAATTGCTATGTCTTCTTGGTGCATTGACTCTCTGTTGTTATATATGTGTGTCTCTGTCTCTGATCATTTTCTTTGCCGTGAAGTCTACTTTATCAGTTAGTAATATAGCAATGAATGCAGCTTTCTTTCATCAATGCTGACATGATATATCTTTTTCTTTTTTAACTTGACTATAGGATGCGTGCACTTGCCAGAGAAAAAGGAAAAATGAGAAAGCATTCTCAAAGTGGGGATGGCCATGTTGCAGTGTCTTTTCTTCCATTTCCCTCTTAGGATTTTGAGCATGCATGCACATGTGCCCAGTGTTTTTCAAGCTCTTGAGTCCAGGGCTCAAACCGCCTAATCAGCCATGTGGGATCTAGCTGCCTTAACCACCCTGCCACTGGCTGGCCTGCGTGATGTCTTTTTCTATTCCTTTCCTTGCAATATGTTCACTTCATTATATTTGGGGGATTTTCTTGTAAATAGCATATATATGATTGGGTCATGGTAAGGCCTTTTTTAATCTCCAAATCTGGGATATGTGAGGTAAAAGAGGAGGGGAAGAAAAAACCCTCAGGGAAGTCACGTCATGTCATTCCCAGGCTCTTAGGGACCTCAAAGTCAGTTTACCACTTTCTCTCTTTTCAGAGTGTTCTTTCATTTTATATAAAGTATCCAGGGTTTTTAGTTGTACTGAGAAGGAGAAGT